GTCACCCCCCACTCCGGCCAGTGTCACCACTGGGCTGGGGTCACACCTCTGGGATGCCATCACCCCCAGATGGCATCACCCCTGGCCAGTGTGTGTCACCCCTGAATGGTGTCACCCCTGGTCAGTGTCACCTTCAGCTAATGTCACCCCTGGTCTGGTATCAGCCCCAGGATGGCCATCACCCCTGTGGCCAGTGTCACCCCCAGGCTGGCATCACCCTTGGGCTTGTGTCATACCCCTGGGCTGGTGTCACCCCCAGGCTTATATCACCTCTGAATGTTGTCACCCCTGGTCAGTGCCACCCTTGGGCTTCTGTCATCCTTGGCCAGTGTCACCCCTGTCTGGCGTCACCCCAGCCTGTGTCACCCCAGGGCCGGTGTCACCTCCAGCCAGTGTCACCCCTGGTCTGGTATCAGCCCCACGATGGCATCACCCCTGTGGTCAGTGTCAACCCCAAGCTGGCATCATCCCTGACTGGTGTCACCCTTGGTCTGGTCTTGTGTCATACCCCAGGCTGCATCCACCTGCAGGTTGGCATCACCCTTTGCCAATGTCACCCACTGGGCTGGTGTCACCCCCAGGTTGTCATTACCCCTGGCCAGTGTCACTCTTAGGCTGCTGTCACCCCTGATCTGGGGGCAGGCTGGCGTCATCCCCAGGGAAGTGTCATTTCCAGGCTGGTGTCCCCCCTGGGTGGCAGTGGGTCCCCACAGGTGCCACAGCATGCACACCTTGCCTGACTCCATCGCTTCCTCCCGCGTTGGGGACAGCGGCTCCCGGTGAGAGACCCACCCCCATGAGGTGCTCACTTGGGGACATCCCCCTGCCACCAGCTGTCCCCAGCAGAGCTGGTCCCACATTCCAGCTGCCACCAGCACCCCATGGTCCTGGCCACCACCCTGGAGATGGGGCCACAGTCTCCGCGGGGTGAGGAGACCCAGGGTGGGGTGACAGGGTGCCAAGGCAGGGTGACAAACAAGCCAGGTGACATTGCGGGGCATGGGATCAGTTCTTGAACATGTCACACAGCAGCTTCTCCATGGGGGTGTTGCCGATGGTCCGGCGGAAGAAGAGCAGCTCCACGCGCTCGGAGGAGATGAAGCGCAGCGCAGGGAGGAGCAGCAGCAGCTTCCCGAACCTGCCGGGGGGGAGGCAGAGCGGTGGCCATGGGGCAGTGGTGTCACCTGTGGGGGACGTGGGGACGGCCGGTACCTGACGGGTTGCCCTGGGTAGTGAGAGCGGTTGTGCTGGCCCAGCATCACCTGTGACTGGTCCTGCAGGTTCTCCACCTGCTCGGGGTCCTTCAGGCCGCGGGTCTCTGCTGGGACAAGGGGGTGGTGATGGGGTGGGGACATGGGGACAGACGGATTGGATGTGCCGGTGGGTCCCCTCACCTGGTTTGAAGAGCACCACGGCTTTCATGCAGGCGAATTCGGTGGGGTCAACGGCCAAGGCCTTGAAGCGGCCGAGGGTCT